GGTTTCCTGTTTATTTGTTTCGGTCGGAAACTTTACAGAAAAAACATCTAAACTCAATGAACTTACAAACATTAGACTTAATGTAGACACAAACATTCACAAAAATCAACACACGCTATACAGACAAACATTAGGACTCACTGTACAGACAAACATTAGACTCACTGTACAGACAAACATTAGGACTCACTGTACAGACAAACATTAGGACTCACTGTACAGACAAACATTAGGACTCACTGTACAGACAAACATTAGGACTCACTGTACAGACAAACATTATGACTCACTGTACAGACAAACATTAGACTCACTGTACAGACAAACATTAGGACTCGCTGTACAGACAAACATTAAGACTCACTGTACAGACAAACATCATGACTCACTGTACAGACAAACATTATGACTCACTGTACAGACAAACATCATGACTCACTGTACAGACACAAACATTAGGACTCACTGTACAGACAAACATTAGGACTCAATGTACAGAGAAACATTAGGACTCACTGTACAGAGAAACATTAGACTCACTGTACAGACAAACATTAGGACTCACTGTACAGACAAACATTAGGACTCACTGTACAGACAAACATTAGGACTCAATGTACAGAGAAACATTAGGACTCACTGTACAGACAAACATTAGGACTCAATGTACAGAGAAACATTAGACTCACTGTACAGACAAACATTAGGACTCACTGTACAGACAAACATTATGACTCACTGTACAGACAAACATCATGACTCACTATACAGACAAACATTAGGACTCACTGTACAGACAAACATTAGGACTCACTGTACAGACACAAACATTAGGACTCACTGTACAGACAAACATTAGGACTCAATGTACAGAGAAACATTAGGACTCACTGTACAGACAAACATTAGGACTCACTGTACAGACAAACATTAGGACTCACTGTACAGACAAACATTAGACTCACTGTACAGACAAACATTAGGACTCACTGTACAGACAAACATTAAGACTCACTGTACAGACAAACATCATGACTCACTGTACAGACAAACATTATGACTCACTGTACAGACAAACAATAGGACTCACTGTACAGACAAACATTAGGACTCACTGTACAGACAAACATTAGGACTCACTGTACAGACAAACATTATGACTCACTGTACAGACAAACATCATGACTCACTATACAGACAAACATTAGGACTCACTGTACAGACAAACATTAGGACTCACTGTACAGACACAAACATTAGGACTCACTGTACAGACAAACATTAGGACTCAATGTACAGACAAACACTAGGACTTTCTGTACAGACAAACATTAGGACTCACTGTACAGACAAACATTAGGACTCAGAGTACAGACAAATATTGGACTCGTTGTACAGGCAAACATGAGGAATCATTATACAGACAAACATTAAGACTCACTGTACAGACAAACATCATGACTCACTGTACAGACAAACATTATGACTCACTGTACAGACAAACATCATGACTCACTATACAGACAAACATTAGGACTCACTGTACAGACAAACATTAGGACTCACTGTACAGACACAAACATTAGGACTCACTGTACAGACAAACATTAGGACTCAATGTACAGAGAAACATTAGGACTCATTGTACAGACAAACATGAGGACTAACTGTACAGACAAACACTAGGACTTTCTGTACAGACAAACATGAGGACTCATTATACAGACAAACATTAGGACTCACTGTACAGACAAACATTAGGACTCATTGTACAGACAAACATTAGGACTCACTGTACAGACAAACATTAGGACTCACTGTACAGACAAACATTAGGACTCAATGTACAGACAAACATTAGGACTCACTGTACAGACAAACATTAGGACTCAATGTACAGAGAAACATTAGACTCACTGTACAGACAAACATTAGGACTCACTGTACAGACAAACATTAAGACTCACTGTACAGACAAACATCATGACTCACTGTACAGACAAACATTATGACTCACTGTACAGACAAACATCATGACTCACTATACAGACAAACATTAGGACTCACTGTACAGACAAACATTAGGACTCACTGTACAGACACAAACATTAGGACTCACTGTACAGACAAACATTAGGACTCAATGTACAGAGAAACATTAGGACTCACTGTACAGACAAACATTAGGTCTCACTGTACAGACAAACATTAGGACTCACTGTACAGACAAACATTAGACTCACTGTACAGACAAACATTAGGACTCACTGTACAGACAAACATTAAGACTCACTGTACAGACAAACATCATGACTCACTGTACAGACAAACATTATGACTCACTGTACAGACAAACAATAGGACTCACTGTACAGACAAACATTAGGACTCACTGTACAGACAAACATTAGGACTCACTGTACAGACAAACATTATGACTCACTGTACAGACAAACATCATGACTCACTATACAGACAAACATTAGGACTCACTGTACAGACAAACATTAGGACTCACTGTACAGACACAAACATTAGGACTCACTGTACAGACAAACATTAGGACTCAATGTACAGACAAACACTAGGACTTTCTGTACAGACAAACATTAGGACTCATTATACAGACAAACATGAGGACTCATTATACAGACAAACATTAGGACTCACTGTACAGACAAACATTAGGACTCATTATACAGACAAACATTAGGACTCACTGTACAGACAAACATTAGGACTCATTGTACAGACAAACATTAGGACTCACTGTACAGACAAACATTAGGACTCATTGTAAAGACAAACATTAGGACTCATTGTACAGACAAACAATAAGATTTACTGTACAGACAAACATTATGACTCACTGTACAGACAAACATGAGGACTCATTATACAGACAAACATTAGGACTCACTGTACAGACAAACATTAGGACTCATTGTACAGACAAACATTAGGACTCATTGTACAGACAAACATTAGGACTCACTGTACAGACAAACATTATGACTCACTGTACAGACAAACATGAGGACTCATTATACAGACAAACATTAGGACTCACTGTACAGACAAACATTAGGACTCATTGTAAAGACAAACATTAGGACTCATTGTACAGACAAACAATAAGATTTACTGTACAGACAAACATTATGACTCACTGTACAGACAAACATTAGGACTCAGAGTACAGACAAACATTAGGACTCGCTGTACAGACAAACATTAGGACTCATTGTACAGACAAACATTAGGACTCATTGTACAGACAAACATTAGGACTCGCTGTACAGACAAACAATAGGACTTACTGTACAGACAAACATTAGGACTCACTGTACAGACAAACATTAGGACTCAGAGTACAGACAAATATTGGACTCGTTGTACAGGCAAACATGAGGAATCATTATACAGACAAACATTAAGACTCACTGTACAGACAAACATTAGGACTCACTGTACAGACAAACATTGGACTCGCTGTACAGACAAACATGTGGACTCATTATACAGACAAACATTAGGACTCACTGTACAGACAAACATTGGACTCACTGTACAGACAACATTAGGACTCACTGTACAAACCTTAATTCAGTATTTCTTAAATGATCTTGGTCAATGAAAAAATATCGACTGTCACTTTTATTTGAAGGTTTGTTAGTCTCAGATTATAGAAATCACGTAATTGAAAGTAGCAAGGTGTTGGTAAAACATTGAAATTTGTTATTTCTCATTTTTGATACCATTCTAGAGATAGGGGACGGTTAAAAACCTGATAATTTCACCGGGAACGTTTTAGTTCAGCAATTAGAAATATTAATAGGAAACACATACACTAAAACAAGAAAGGGACGCTAAGTAAATTGTGACTTTAACTATGACTGTTGTTGAGTCTGTTATGAAGCAACAAGTTAACGAGTGATCAGGCTTGTTGATATGTAGTGTTACATGACAGTGAAAACGCGGTTGACTACGATGAACTAGATCTTGTTTACTATCAGGTCCACACAGGCATTGTCTGGATACCTCCGTACTTATAATACTGTTGTGTCATCTGCGCAGTAGGCTGAAGTCCAAGATAATGCATAACAGATATTGTGATGGACCTAAACTCACCGCTAGTGAATATCTACACTAGTGAAAGTTATATTTCGCATCTGTCACTTGAATTCAACAACGTAGAATAGACGTTTAGGCACAATTTTCATTAAATATGTGTGTTTTTTTAACTTATTAAAATGAATTGTCACGCAATTAAACACAAGGCAACAAACATATCAATAGCAATACCTTTTGTCATCATTGCTTTTCCTATCACTGTTCGATCTAATCTGAGGGAAATTACAATGTGAAAGCATATCCTCAATAAATAGGCCTTTATGAAAATACTGCAAAAATGTCGGACTTCAGGCTTTCTGTCTTTCACTGGCCTATGTACAGTATTGGTGGAGTTTAAAAGCCTTATGATAGAAGGCTATTAGAGGCGCGATAGTTAAAATATCGTGAACAGCGTATTATGTGGGAAATATTACGCAACCAATATTTCATTCCTTGTGTTCAACACCAGCCAAACTCTACCAATCAACAGATGTTACTACACCACAATCAAAGAAAACCACAAGACATTCCTATAATCTGACACACAATGTCTTTATATGCAGAAGACAAAGTGAATGGACGTTTTACACCCATTCTTCCGTACATTTGATGCTATGACACGCATAACTTATTACTCCACGCATTTTCGTATCATCTCGTTTCTAAAAATTAAAAAAAAAGTGTAATATGGGCGTTAATGGTAAATATTGCTAAACGTACGTTATCTCTATCTGTCGGAATACAAATAAACTACTTCAAAATGTTTCGTCACCACAGCCTGCGTCCTTTGAGGGTAGAAGTCGGAGGTTGAGGGTAGGTATCGGAGGTTGAGGATAGGTGTCGGAGATTGAGGGTAGGTATCGGAGGTTGATGGTAGGTGTCGTAGGTTAAGGGTATGTGTCGGAGGTTGAGGTATGTGTAGAGGTTGAGGCAGGTATCGGAGGTTGAGGGTAGGTGTCGAAGGATGAGGGTAGGTGTTGGAGGTTGGGAGTAGTATCGAAGGTTGAGGGTAGGTGTCGGAGGTTGGGAGTAGTGTCGGAGGTTGAGGGTAGGTGTCGGAAGTTGGGAGTACTGTCGGAGGTTGAGGGTAGGTATCGGAGGTTGAGGATAGGTGTCGGAGGTTGAGGTAGGTATCGGAGTATGGGTAGGTATCGGAGATTGAAGGTAGGTGTCGGAGGTTGGGAGTAGTGTCGGAGGTTGAGGGTATGTGTCGGAGATTGAGGGTAGGTATCGGAGGTTGGGAGTAGTGTCGGAGGTTGAGGGTATGTGTCGGAGATTGAGGGTAGGTATCGGAGGTTGATGGTAGGTGTTCTAGGTTGAGGGTATGTGTCGGAGGTTGAGGGTAGGTGTCGAAGGTTGGGAGTAGTGTCGGAGGTTGAGGGTAGGTGTCGGAGGTTGAGGAAAGGTGTCGGGGTTGAGTGTAGGTATCGGAGGTTGAGGGTAGGTGTCGGAGGTTGATGGTAGGTATCGAAGGTTGGGAGTAGTGTCTGAGGTTGAGGGTAGGTGTCGGAGGTTGAGGAAAGGTGTCGGGGGTTGAGTGTAGGTATCGGAGGTTGAGGGTAGGTGTCGAAGGTTGGGAGTAGTGTCAGAGGTTGAGGGTAGGTATCGGAGGTTGAGGGTAGGTGTCGAAGGTTGAGGAAAGGTGTCTGAGGTTGAGGGTAGGTATCGGAGGTTAAGGGTAGGTGTCGAAGGTTGAGGGTAGGTGTCAAAGGTTGAGGGTAGGTGTCGGAGTTTGGGAGTAGTGTCGAAGGTTGAGGGTAGGTGTCGGAGGTTGGTTGTAGTGTCGGAGGTTGAGGGTAGGTGTCGGAGGTTGAGGGTAAGTGTCGGAGGTTAGGTATCGGAGGTTGAGGGTATGTGTCTGAGGTTGAGGGTAGGTATCGGAGGTTGATGGTAGGTGTCGGAGGTTGAGGGCAGGTGTCGGAGGTTGAGGGTAGGTATCGGAGGTTGAGGATAGGTGTCGGAGGTTGAGGTAGGTATCGGAGTATGGGTAGGTATCGGAGATTGAAGGTAGGTGTCGGAGGTTGAGGGTATGTGTCGGAGATTGAGGGTAGGTGTTCTAGGTTGAGGGTAGGTGTCGGAGGTTGAGGAAAGGTGTCGGGGTTGAGTGTAGGTATCGGAGGTTGAGGGTAGGTGTCGGAGGTTGATGGTAGGTGTCGAAGGTTGGGAGTAGTGTCTGAGGTTGAGGGTAGGTGTCGGAGGTTGAGGAAAGGTGTCGGGGGTTGAGTGTAGGTATCGGCGGTTGAGGGTAGGTGTCGAAGGTTGGGAGTAGTGTCAGAGGTTGAGGGTAGGTATCGGAGGTTGAGGGTAGGTGTCGAAGGTTGAGGAAAGGTGTCTGAGGTTGAGGGTAGGTATCGGAGGTTAAGGGTAGGTGTCGAAGGTTGAGGGTAGGTGTCAAAGGTTGAGGGTAGGTGTCGGAGTTTGGGAGTAGTGTCGAAGGTTGAGGGTAGGTGTCGGAGGTTGGTTGTAGTGTCGGAGGTTGAGGGTAGGTGTCGGAGGTTGAGGGTAAGTGTCGGAGGTTAGGTATCGGAGGTTGAGGGTATGTGTCTGAGGTTGAGGGTAGGTATCGGAGGTTGATGGTAGGTGTCGGAGGTTGAGGGCAGGTGTCTGAGGTTGAGGGTAGGTATCGGAGGTTGAGGGTAGGTGTCGAAGGTTGAGGGTAGGTATCGGAGGTTGAGGGTAGGTGTCGGAGGTTGGGAGTAGTGTCGGAGGTTGAGGGTAGGTGTCGAAGTTTGAGGGTAGGTGTTGGAGGGTAGGTGTCGAAGGTTGGGAGTAGTGTCGGAGGTTGAGGGTAGGTGTTGGAGGGTAGGTGTCGAAGGTTGGGAGTAGTGTCGGAGGTTGAGGGTAGGTATCGGAGGTTGAGGTAGGTATCGGAGGTTTAGTGTAGGTATCGGAGGTAGCGAAGGATTGTGTAAACAGATCTAAATTGTAGCTACTTTGTCAGATAATAGCGATATAGCAGTATCACAGAGCATGCTACAGACTTCACACAGTGTATTTTACCGGTACAATGTTGTGAAAAGAAAAACAACATACTGTTTCTGTAACCTGCTGTTTTTCGTCAGATAGATAAAAGTTACAGATAAAAACACACGATATTAATTTTGGATTCCAAGGATTATATTGAAGTAAAAATACACGTTTGTTGTAATTTCATCAAGAATTTTCGATATACGGAGACAGATGCAATTCTTCTGGTTTTTTTTTTTTTTTAACATTTCCGGTGTTACTTGCAAAATTTCATGAACGCAGAATATGCAGTTTTGTTTCCAGATATCTGTCAAAAGGTTTCTATTCCTCAATAAACAGGAACCACCCACTCCTGTTTATCACACAATGCAACTGTAACATTTGACAAACATGCTCCCTCTGGATGTTGATAAGATTACACAAGGAACGTATAGCGATAAACATAGGAGTGAGGCATTAGACACTTAAAACGCACGTGCAAACAGTCAGCATGACAGATAGAAATCACATTCGCTTCTTTAGTAGTACTATTTCTGAACATATGACATCATTCATTCTAAAGATGAAAAACATTAGACATGTATATTGTTGTTTAGACAGAAATAACAAACTGTATCTGAAGAATGTAATGAAATTAAGATAAAAAAAAAAGCGGGGAGAGAGAGAGAGAGAAGAGGGGGGGGGGGGAGTAAACACTGCAACAACTATATACGCTTTGTCTGTACAAAGATCGCATAGAAAAGGAACAAGATATAAGTCATCAATTATCAACTGATCACTTGTGGTAAAAGAATGATAGAGACAGTGATATCTCCCAAGGCGCATTGAGGTCCTCCACATAACATTTTTATATGGCTCAAGGCATTTCAAGATTTTTGAAAAATATATTCGTGTCAAATGATTTTGAATTATTTTTCTGTTTTGTCATTTATATCAGTATATTGAAAATTAACTTTTGTTCATATGTCTGTTAATAATATGGATTATATCGGGGAGATAAAATGGTGAGTTAACAGTCACTAACTGTCATGGTTACATTTTGGATTTTTTAAGTACCGACGTGTCCTTGAGATACATATACTGTGACGTCAGTGATAACTGATGGTAATTTGACTAAAACAAAACGTTTCCGCCAGAAAGCGCATATGTTATTTTTAAGGCTGATCAATGTCATACAAAACGATATACAGGTGTGTCCTTCGTGGGTGTTGTCAGGTATGCCACCATATTTTTCACGACATCAAATATTCATTTGGTATTTCATGAGCCGGTAACAGAGATGTACTTTGACCTCTTGTAGAGATTGATAAATACACACAATCTCTACACTTAACTAAGATCTTAACTATCAAACTTACACAAAGACCCCTCATGTTCATGTGGTAGTCCCTGTGAGGATGCTGACCACTTCTTGCTGCACTGTCCGAACTTTGACCCCCTGAGGAACCTCACGCTTTACGAAATGCAAAGAGTAGATATGCAACGCTGTACAGCAATAAATTGAGCGCTGTGGGAGATTCGGGTAGTGTTCATACAAGTGGGAACCATGTATATATACATTGTACTATATGTTAGCCATGCACTTTGATTTGTATATTTATATGCCATCACGTGATGTTTTCTTAATGTAAATTTATTTATAAAGAGAAGACCTCGTAAGTTGAAATAACTTGTGTCTAACCCTTTTGTTCTCACACTTGGCAATAAATATGTTTAAACTAAACTAACCTTAATACTTTTCCTGAAATTACCGAAATAATCACTGTGTTGTTTTGCGCGAGAAAGTAGTTCATAGCAATAAGTTTTCAAACGACTTATAAACTACGACTGTATATTCACAGATCCCCAGTAGCAGTGCCAATTTACAACTTGAAATTTAGGAAGGAAACAAAGCACCATTCACGGAGTAACTGATTGAAGAACTTAACGACTGGAATGATCTATATAGTCTGTTAGAAATGGTTTAAGTAGTGTTTACATGTATAGAGAACAGGATGTCCTGATTTACAGAGTCTTTTTCTCTGTCTAGTTCTATGACAAGTGTTATCATACATGATCGGCCCATCATATTCCTGTTGGCAGCGTTTCTCACAAATTGGCATCTTCTCAAAGTCTACCATGAAATATTCAAGTATGTCACTATCTATACAACATCACGTGCACAAATCAACTAATCATGTTTCCGCATTCACTTACCAATACAAGTTTTGGACTTAAAAACTTAAAAAATATGATTAAGTTTGTCTCTAAATAGCTCCATTGCCCAATACTTCCTAGTTTCTGTTTAACAAACACCTACATGCATACACGTAATTAATGCGAAGATTCCGAAAAAAAATATAGCATGCTGTACACGAGAAATGTTTGGGATTCCTCATAGCTGAGACTCCTTGAATGCTATTGAAGTGAGCAGTAGTGACTCTCCAGCCTCATCAACTCCAGAAGGCTTGTAATCAGTCGTCTTCATTGTAGTTACGTGGGCAGCGTTAGTCGGCAGTCAGACCAGGTAGATAACAGACCCTTACATACAACAGGCGGTATGCTGGACTGTGTTCACCGCGGAAGTATTCAATCTATGAAAAGGTAATGTTATCTGATCTTGGTTTATATTCTCTTTTCAGTCGGCCTTGTGACCTACCTTTATACTTTATGGTTATTTTGATATTTGGTCTACTTATCTCGCTGGAACTCGTGAACAGGAAGTTATATTGTTGTTTTAATGTTATCCCATAATCATTGTTCATTTCGTCTTCATCCACAAGTTTATTTTGGTTAATCAATATCGCCAGTTTTCATCAATAAGTTTTGTAATATGACTCGGTTATCACATATCGAATGTTATATAACATGGTTTTTTTGGGGAGTAAAATTAAACTAGGGTGTTATACACTTTCTCTGGTATCTATTGAACAGATGTTTAGGTGTCAGTATAGCTTAGTCCTGCTGAACTGTCTCTAAGATTGCGAAATACTGATTTCTGACTGGTCAATGTTTTTGATTCACGAAATTCTAACATATAGCATATGGGAGTATTTTTGTCTATGAAATTGTTGTATAGAATAAAGTCTTTGAATTATGTATACCATTGATCATGTTTGTGAAGCATCAATTTATTATATATTATTATATAACACAGAATGACTGATGTTGCTAGATGTACATTCGCTGCGTTGATTTACTGCGTATATGAAAAGGAAGTGCGTTTCTAGAAAGGAAATTGGATGAAACAGCTACAGAACATGAATCATTCTATATAATTATCTTTGAACCGTCAACTTTGAAATTTCATTTGTTCACAGAATGTCAATACATATCATTTTTTTGTTATTCAGTCTTTCATTTTTGCTGCGAGTATAAGATAGAATTTACGCACCAACGTGTCAATTATGTGTTTATCAGTTAACTCGTCAGCACTCGAATCGTATTTCAAAAGCGCCAAATAAGCGAATGTAACGGATAAGAAATGAAACGCACGCCACTTAAACGATATCCGGGAACCTAGATAAGTTTAACATGGTATATTTACTAGAATGGTTACTTAACAGTAAAACCGCAAAATATGTCAAATGAGAATATGAACAGATTAAGACGGTTAACCTTTGTTCAGGGGCCTGATCAAGAATACTTAATGTTATCACATTGAAATGCCAAAGGTGGACGTGGCACAACAACCAAGCATAATTTTAAATGGACAACTGGTTTACCATTCCTTCATGCCATTTCATTAGACAAACTGGCGACAAGCAGACAACATTTTGTTCTAATCTTTGCTAGAAATCGCTTTTCACTGTCTTTGGACAAAATTCACAACCTTCCTCGCTTGAGTGAACACTCAACATTGAGCCTCGAAGAGTCCAATGTGTCAAAAACAAACATCACAATACTACGCGCCAATTTGTTATAGTGACAAACATTTTCTACAACGATACACTTGTTATTGCGGTCAATACTTATATTAATAATACACCAACCAGTTTGAAAACAACCTACGAGGCTGATGTTTGACAGCCACATGTCGTATCAATCATATATAGTATATGTTAAGTAAGATAGGATTCCAGTGCATTAAATGATGGTTGGTAGCCCATATTCTCTCGCGGGTTTGGCGCGGCGGGTTCTGCACAAGTTCTTTAATAAGTTATAGTTTCTTTTTTTTTTATATTGGTTATGTCTTTAACGCAAAGTTAAATTTGTCCCCAGTTCAATGACGAATAGATTTTGGATATTTATTTCTTGATCTTTTGTTCTTGAATCTTTCGATGTCATGCCTCACTAAGCAACGCCTCGATTTAGACCTTGGTACCGGGTAAGGAAAGCATTGGTTCTGCCCCCAGACCGAGACAACTTAATAGCCTGACGTTCGGGTAGAACTGAGAGATAAAGACTGCTAGGCCTATTGATAGTAAAATGTGACTGGAACTCATGTTAATTCGTCCACATTCATCTTAGTATCATAGCATCATAAAATAATCCACCAGTGGCTCCATCTATTATAAAAGTATCTATAAGTGGCTCCATCTATTATAAAAGTATCCATCAGTGGCTCCATCTATTATAAAAGTATCCATTAGTGGCTCCATCTATAATAAAGTATCAATCAGTGGCGCCATCTGTTATAAAAGTATCCATCAGTTGCGCCATCAATTATAAAAGTATCCATCAGTGACTCCATCTATTATAAAAGTATCCATTAGTGGCGCCATCTATTATAAAAGTATCCATTAGTGGCGCCATCTATTATAAAAGTCTCCATCAGTGGCCCATCTATTATAAAAGTATCCATCAGTGGTGCCATCTATTCTGAAAGTATCCATTAGTGGCGCCATCTATTATAAAAGTATCCATCAGTGGCTCCATCTATTTTAAAATACCCATCAGTGGCCCCATCTATTATAAAAGTATCCATCAGTGGCGCCATCTATTATAAAAGTATCCTTCAGTGGCCCCATCTATTATAAAAGCATCCTTCAGTGGCTCCATCTATTTTAAAATACCCATCAGTGGCCCCATCTATTATAAAAGTATCCATCAGTGGCTCCATCTATTTTAAAATACCCATCAGTGGCCCCATCTATTATAAAAGTATCCATCAGTGGCGCCATCTATTATAAAAGTATCCTTCAGTGGCCCCATCTATTATAAAAGTATCCTTCAGTGGCCCCATCTATTATAAAAGCATCTATCAGTGGCTCCATCTATTTGAAAATACCCATCAGTGGCGCCATCTTTTATAAAAGTATCCATCAGTGGCTCCATCTATTACAAAAGTATCCTTCAGTGGTCCAATCTATTATAAAAGCATCCATCAGTGGCGCCATCTATTTTAAAATACCCATCAGTGGCTCCATCTATTACAAAAGTATCCTTCAGTGGTCCAATCTATTATAAAAGCATCTATCAGTGGCTCCATCTATTTGAAAATACCCATCAGTGGCGCCATCTGTTATATAAGTATCCATCAGTGGCTCCATCTTTTATAAAAGTCTCCGTTATTGGCCCATCTATTATAAAAGCATCCATCATTGGCCCCATCTATTATAAAAGTATCCATCAGTGGTCCAATCTATTATAAAAGTATCCTTCAGTGACCCCATCTATTATAAAAGCATCCATCAGTGGCTCCATCTATTTGAAAATACCCATCAGTGGCGCCATCTTTTATAAAAGTATCCATCAGTGGCTCCATCTATTATAAAAGTATCCTTCAGTGGTCCAATCTATTATAAAAGCATCCATCAGTGGCTCCATCTATTTTAAAATACCCATCAGTGGCGCCATCTTTTATAAAAGTATCCATCAGTGGCTCCATCTATTATAAAAGGATCCATCAGTGGCCCCATCTATTATAAAAGTATCTATCAGTGGCGCCATCTATTATATAAGTATCCATCAGTGGCTCCATCTATTATAAAAGTCTCCGTTATTGGCCCATCTATTATAAAAGCATCCATCAGTGGCCCCATCTATAATAAAAGTATCCATCAGTGGCCCCATCTATTATAAAAGTATCTATCAGTGGCTCCATCTATTATAAAAGTATCCATCAGTGGCCCCATCTATTATAAAAGTATCTATCAGTGGCGCCATCTATTATATAAGTATCCATCAGTGGCTCCATCTATTATAAAAGTATCCATCAGTGGCGCCATCTATTCGGAAAGTATCCATTAGTGGCTCCATCTATTATAAAAGTATCCATCAGTGGCGCCATCTATTATAAAAGTCTCCGTTATTGGCCCATCTATTATAAAAGCATCCATCATTGGCCCCATCTATTATAAAAGTATCCATCAGTGGCTTCATCTATAATAAAAGTATCCATCAGTGGCGCCATCTATTATAAAAGTATCTATCAGTGGCGCCATCTATTATATAAGTATCCATCAGTGGCTCCATCTATTATAAAAGTCTCCGTCAGTGGCCCCATCTATTCATCAGTGGCGCCATCTATTATATAAGTATCCATCAGTGGCTCCAACTATTATAAAAGTCTCCGTCAGTGGCGCCATCTATTATAAAAGCATCCATCAGTGGCTCCATCTATTCGTGGACATCCCTCTCCATACGATCACGTTAATTCATATTGAAGACAAATTATAATTACCCCTGGATCAGTCAACAGTAAAAGACGTACATGCAGCTGTTTAATGCGGCAGAATGTAAAATTGATGCTAGAGAGATAATCTGAAATCTGTTTATTTTTGTTTGGACTTTTCATCCTATTTAAATGTCGAGTGAAGAGTATAATGATACTAGGTCAAGGAAATCTAAACAAAACTCACTTAGCATCGTGTAAGAGTTCACCAATATGTCTTACCACTGCACTTACGGAGATAAAACATGTTCTGTAGTTTACTAGTGACGGCTCCATGTAAACAGACACCCCAACAAATGACCACTGTGGCCCTACAACAGGCCTGTGTATGTAGTATACACCAGCACTGCCACAGCTGGTAAAGACATATTCTCTGGCAGCCAGCATCATTTCACGAATCGTCGATACTATCGCAGTAATGTTTAAAAGTAACTTTTCTGCGGACTTGTGTTACAAAGTGAAAGATTAAAGAGGAAGAAGTGTCATTATATAGGTGTTAACAACCTATTTTTATATAGGTCAAGGTTGATCTTCGTGCGGGTAATTTTTATCCTTCGAGATTTAGAACGCAAAATCATAAACAAGCAACATTTTGTTTGTTATCGTAAACAGATAAAACCGCAGGAGACATGTTCAATCTTATTTGTTATGAACTGATACAATTATTTTTAAAACGTTATCAAAACTCTAAAATGGAATAAAACCTATTAATATTTATCAATATTACAGGTTCTATAACGCTACAGCGAACCAATAAACATATGGCTATTTGTAAAACACTACACAATAATACACTTGTATGAAGTGTCATACCTTTGTTTACTGACAGACTGTTAAACCTTTATTCAACATCCATAGTTATCGCTTTGATAGTGTTTCACTGAAATAAAATATTTCCCAGTGTTGCCCTCTTGCAACGAAAACAAAAGTTTGGCAGAAGATTGCTGTCAAACCTGTAACATACCTTTATTATGTAAGAGTAAATTGAATTCTGAACAAAAGTGAAGTCACACGCGAGAACGAATAACAGCCCAGGGTAAATATTTCCCTATATGGTATAGTAAAGTGCAGAAATAAGTAAACATGGAAGCTGAGGATAACATATTAATCAGATGTTAACATGATCCTCAGGCAACAGAAGGAGATCGGAGTTTTAAATTTGTGTGATAAAACAAAGATTCTAAACATACTGTTTGCGTGCTAGTATGTCCAATGAAATCTTTTACTCTTAAGTTACGTTACATTTACGAACTGTTGTTATGCCTCATTTGATTTGTTTGTTTAGTAAACAACGCCAATTAAGTCACTCACAAAATAACAACAAAATCTCGGAAAAAGTGTACTCATTACAACCTCATTACAAATGATATGGGTGTAAAGCAGTTCATCTCACGGTCAGGTTCTAGTGTAGAAAATTAAAAGGGAGCGATACTGAGTAGGGATGAAATCAATGTACCATAACTAGTGCATTTCGTGTCAATATATCTATATATATCCATCAATAGTATTTGCCGACTAGCTTCCGTTTCCGCCATTCCTGTGTAAACTATCACTACTTGCCTAATTGATTTCAATCACCTGTTTTCAGAATCCTGGTAGACTTCGCAGTGGCATTTTAATCTCTGTGCAGCGTCATAGAAAGTGATTACCAGCCAGCCCGCCTAACTTTAGTTGCCCCGTCCTGGGTGTATATATATAGACCGGGCCTGCGCTATGGCACTCTTTAGATCAGAACTGCATGTGCCAGTGAAGAGGGACGACATGACGTTCCAAGACAGGCAAGTCAAATCTTGGGAAGATATGGAAGTCAGAATGGAAAAGCGTAGGAAGGAATGGGATAGTGAGTTTGAGAGCATGAAGAATGAATTCTTCAAGCTGAAACCTACAGAGAAAAGCGGCTGCAATACTGTAGATACGCTAGATAACCTGAAGACTATTTTTGTAAACGACTTACACGGTGGTCAAAAATTCAAAGTACGCTTTGACGTCAGCGAATTCAGACCAGAGGAAATACAGGTCCGTGTGCAAGATAATAAAATAGCTGTTTCGGCAAAGCACGAGGAGAAATCTACATCAACCTCAGTGAGTAAGGAGTACAGTCGGCAAGTTGATATACCGAGTAACGTGGACCAAGAAAAACTCCAGTGTATCCTCAGTAAGGACGGAATTCTCTCCATTGAAGGTCCAGTTCGTGGTCAGATTTTAGGAAAGGAAACCGTTTTGCCTATTCAGCACGCGGTATCCAGTGTAAGTCCTACAACAAACGGAACAAACGGGATGTCTTGTACTCCAACGCCTAACAACCAGATCGCCATAGCCAGGCCGCTAGAGGTCAGCACTAATACGGTAAAGAATCCTATAATAACAGAACCGGACGGAACACGTAAACTGCGGTTAAGTGTTGACGTGGGGGAATTTAAACCGGAGGAAATAGTAGTAAAAACCGATAAAAAGAAGTTAATTGTACACGCAGAACACGAGGAAAAATTAACTGGTAGAACAATGCATAAAGAATTTAACAAGGAGTACGAATTACCGGACAGTGTTGATCAGACTGCCATTTCGGCCTACATCGGAGAGGAGGGTAAACTTTATATAGAAGCACCCTTGAAACCCGTACAACAAAAACGGTATTCAATCACACAAAGTCACGACGTCCGCAAAGTAGTGGTCACTAAGGAGTCTCAGGTAACCGTCACGGATAACCAAAATCGGCCACTGGTCACCATCAACGTCCATCGTCGTTAGACGTTTCCGGTCGGTTTCCTATTGAAGAGAGTATATGTGTTAACAATGTATCGCTATTGGGGCCATCTTGTGTCTTTTATGAACCGGAGGGAGGACGCTGATTTCGGGTGATTTGTAATTTAATTTGATACACAGAACAGGATGAAATGTCACCAACGAAGGGAGATAACATTAAGTACTAAACATTTTGATCGTTGATAATTCCTGTGATACACTGTAAACTGCGACGGTGAGTGGATATAAAATACTCGATTTTTAATTGAAGTCGATTTTCGGTTATTAACTTTATCTCTTTAAATCTCCTGATTTAAATTTGGATTTTACGATAACAAGAGTGAATATATTCAATAGCAAATTGGAGTTGATTTCATCTTTTTCATGAACATGTTGAAGAGGAGCAAGGTAATACTTTTACAGTGTAACTAGCTGGAGTATGTCCTTGTTATAGAGGCAGAAAGGGCTTTCAACTTAACTTTTATGCATGCACGTTTATAAAACAAACAAAAAGACAATTCCATAAGAATAATTTATTAAGTTGCCATAAAAGCTATCGTGTTCTGTAATCACTATATATTGAAAATATTCATGTAGTTCAAAGTTTGTAATATGTTTGTAGCAGTTCCATCTCAGTACGTGAGTGAGCGCAGGTGTTACAAAAGCGCATTTCATTTCACACTCGGACATAAACATGGAAACACACGGACATAGTACCAAGTCATATGTGAAAGGGACATGGTGTGGATTAACATATACAAAATTGTTCACAACTAAATCAATTGATAGACAATATATAACACAGATTTCATGTCTAGAAAATATGTTTGAGTAATTTTGCTCATATTCCGACTCTCGAATAGCCAGACACCCACGCCATATCTGTTTCCCGGGTTACTAGAGATGTATCTGATTCTGGTTTTCGTTAATACGCAGATAGGTTTTTCTTATCTAAATCGAACAGGATGCAAACTACGTCCCTCGACTCAGAACTCTTAACATGATATTTGCTATCTGTATATCAGGGCTGGCTTATTAGTCATTCTACATTTCAAAGCATCAACGAATATTTATGTCACTTTTTGTTTTAACGTGTCACAACTTTGGCAGGATACTGTTCTGTGAAGTTCATAAAAAATAGAAAGTTATAAAAACATGTAAAACTATATCAGGTTAATTTTATACATAAAGTAAGAATACATATAATATTATATGTATAATATTATAATATATAATACAACAGTAACTTTTAAAAGTTTCTCGTGAATCTATGACGTAAAATAAGTTTGAGATAAGTAAGGTTAAACGAGACACGTCACGGTTATCTCTATCATATGCTTGGTTTCCTCTTGAGGGAAGCTTGAAATGCCAAAGCCTACATAATATCTGTTTATACAATTTAACACGAAGCAGACAGCGTCTGAGATGCCTCTGTAAAAGTTAATATATAACACCTGGTAACGCTGATGTTTATGTTCTCTGATCCAAGAGATTTATCTAATAATCCCCTCAGTCTTTGAGGGCCTCGTATTTGTACCAAATAATTTCAATTTGTGTCAAATATGAATCAGTAGTATCACAGTATAACCCGCTCTAGTTTGTAGTTTTGTAGCACCACAAAGCAATGGTATATATTACTACAGATATTCGAACTTTTCAAACCGGTTTGAATTTAGCACTCCGAAACTATCTTACCATCTGCCAGATTGTGGATCTCGGTTTTCAACTTTAATCATGGCAACACTTATTTCTTGATATAATGGAGTGGATTTGTTTTGGTAGAAGACAGGACTTTATCTTCAAGCCAGCGTTGTATGTAAAGTATGGTTTTCTTACAGTTGCCAAAAAGAGGTTTGTTTCGGTAGATAGCATTACTCCAAACAAACCAACAAGTACAAAAGGTACCAATCGAAATTGGTACAAATACCTTGAAATTCAACATGTCAGAATTGATATGAATTAAATTAGCATTTTTTAACAAAAATGGAAATAGCAACAAACCAAATTGAATTAGGAAGCTTACTAAGCTTTGAAAAGCATACCAGACCGGTAAACAGTAAACCCTGGCGTTGAATGAAATACAATATGCACGTGAGCTTCATGCCCTCGTGCGGGCTATATAGACCAGCGAGAGGTTGGTCGGTCACGATCCTAAGGTAACACAGGCCTAGAAGTTTATTTGGCGTTGATGTTTTACAAATAGTTGGAATAGTTTGTTCAAATACGTCTGGATCTTAAACACATTTTAGTTTGTACTGTTTTCGTATAAGAGATAATATAATTACCAACTCGTTGCCATGGTATCCTTGGCAGAACCTTTTCATAACGCATGTTTTATCTTCCCATACATAAAACCAGATTCAAAGGGTATTACGAATATTCTTTAAAAATGAGAACTATGCCAAAGAAAAGGATAATTGTCTTTACATTTTCAGAGTAGGAGCCTTCGAAGTATTAAAACTGAAATGTTTATGAATAATATATTTCTTTGGTGTTCAAATCAGTGACTTTGTGACAAATTTAAACACTTATAGAAGAGTTACAGTTGTGAGTTTGAAAATTATTTTTTGAATCTCATTTTATTTATATACATTGACAGAAATACGTAAATTTATTTGGTTGTGTATGTGTGCGTGGTATGTAAATATTACAAAACTCATTTGTATGCATGGCCAGGACACGTATGCAATATAGGTAATACCCGAATATGGCTTGTCAATTTTTGTGGTGGTATCCTTAGTTACTTGTACAATGAAACCTTGTTATTCCGGATTTTGGATTGATAGCTCGCTGATCCAGATATTATGCAACAGCAAGATGAAATTTAACACAAAAAATATATAAATCATATTTTACACTCTTGCCTCGTTTGTATTGGAATCCGGATGTTCTGGTATATCAAGGTTTCTGTTCAGCGTCAGTATGTACATGTATATGACTTTTAGTTTAATTTAAGACAAAACAGGTTGTTCATATTTGTAAAAAAAATCGTTTGAGTATATAATTTAGTCTATTTATGTTGTATTATTATGAGAAATTATATATCTTTTTGTTAGTACCTCATATAATTTGATTATGTAATAGTTATTGTAACTGTTGTGACACTTTGTCCGGATTTATTTCCTGTCATGTTTGGGTGAACTTAAAGCCCAGACAAATAATTCAGCATGCATGAATGCATAGCGTCACACATCACTACTTTGACGTGTTAATGTTTTAATGTTGGTAATTGAATTATAAAACTTCCAGGAACCGAGATACTTTACTAAGATGCGTATCTCATTCATCACGTTCAAAGTATATCGTAATTCAGTACTTTCATTTTCAGTGATATTAATGAATCATATGGATTTTGTTCATATTTTTGTTAATGTTTTGAATAATAAGATTAGGCTCAGAAGGGAGACTCCTTGATATTTTAATTGATTTTATGAGGCTCAGAAGGGAGACTCCTTGATATTTTAATTGATTTTATGAGGCTCGGAAGGGAGACTCCTTGATATTTTAATTGATTTTATGAGGCTCGGAAGGGGGACTCCTTACTATTTTTATTGATTTTATAAGGCTCGGAAGGGGAATTCCTTACTATTTTTATTGATTTTGTGAGGCTCTGTAGAGGGTTTTTGATATTCAAATTTTGATAAATCAACTTTTTGTAGAAAATATTTGTTTTTGTCACTTGTCTCTATAGATTAAGGATAATTTCCTTTTTTTGCCCCCTTTCGATGCCTTCTTGTTTCCATGGGTAATATCGAAGTTCCTGGTATAGCTCACAGGCCGGCTGTGATTTATGATGTACATTGATACGAATTAATGTTAATACGTTATCCTGTATGTGTAGTGCTTTATGAGACTTCACAACAATGCCCGAATGCTGCAATGAAGACTGAATTTAGCAATAATATCATTTATAATGCTTGTTGAACGTCACCAATGACAAATTACATTACAAATTAAAATTAAGTAAACTACTGAAGTTGTTGCTCTTCTGTTCAAAGGATTAAATAGCGACCACATTTAATAGAGGATATCCACAGAGATTAAACGAAAAGTTTTATCTAAGCGAATACACTAAACAGTAACCATGTGAATACATACGACTTAACAATCAGTTAAAAAAAGTGAACGACACCTGTCAATATAGCTTTAGAATATGTATCGTTTATTAGTGCATCATACTGCTAATTACAGCTGTATACATCCGTTTCGTGATAGCAACAGGAAAATTGAGATATTACCAGTTCATAATACTGATTATACTTAGTTGAAGGTCTTAGATAATTTTGGAATCTGAAACAAGATGACCTACCAAACGGGTTTATTTCATGTATTCGTCAGAAAAGAAATATCAATCATATTTTTTTCGCATATTATGACACGATAGAGATATTGTGTAGCCAAAGAAATTTTGAAATGCCATTGCATTGATCCTCAGGAAATGGTATCTTACTTGTCAACAATATTCCGGCTTGTTGAGGACATCAACATCCACAAGCATGACGAACTGATCACAAACAAATCTTCTTTTGTCAGACTTGTTTTTGTTAAGAATGAGAAAAGCAAAGGCTCATTAGAACTGGTAAGACAGAGTTGTGAAGTCTTTCCTTTAACTCTTTGATATGTTCCTCATCTTAAATTACAGGAAATTATTGACTCTGTCCAGTTGACGTGTCCCCAATAAGTCTTAATCGTCAGCAGCTTACCTCGGTCTTCACTTACAGCGAAACCATCAATGACACTTTCTACTGAGCTATTTGATAAGAATGAGGATTCCAATTTTCCATTTTTAGACAGGAAAATTCTACTCCTCCAACTGACGGTTTCTTTGTTCTGGTACCAAATATAACGATACCTAGGATAAGTATCGGGAGCTGATTAAAAAAGAAGAAGGTTTCAAGAGATACAGATGGATGGAGACTAAGTTTAATCGTCGCGTGCATAGTCTTATTCAAATCGTTCTGGTAGAATTGTCGTTAATAACCCTGTTCTTTTCTTTAGATACGTGACATTACTTACTTGACTTGAGTTTATTTAGTGGACGTCATTGATAACACTAACGACAGCTACTCTTCAGAATACATGAGCTGAATTTCTTATTGTTTCTTAAATTTCCATTATCACGATTTCCGTGAGAGAACTCGTCAGTAGATGGACAAACACATAATGACACATGGTTTCAAAAGATGCCGGTTAATGAAAATCATGGGAAAGTTCGTGATCTCATTGAGAAATATTCTGTTTCTTATTTGCGACATGAAGCTGTACGTGTTTGATGCTCATAAGTTTGCCAGTAAGTTCCGTTGTTTAATACCTTGTTTTAATTTGAGAACGTGACATTACTTACTTGGATTGACCAAGGTTTACATGGAGAGTATCATAGATGAAGCAGACGCTTACTCTTCCGGAACATCTGATATTATTCTCCTTGTACTTTTTTCAGGAGACTCCGTGTATTTTTTTTTTTTTTGTTTTTGTTTTTGTTCTTGTTTTGTCATTGTTTTATTGACTTTGAGTTTGGATTATGATTATATTAACGTTGGTATTTTGTTGATAACTAAGAGTGATTGAATACGACTTAACATAATATGTATAGTATTACAAATTAATTTCATTAGGTCACGGTATGATGCTGATCAACAGGGTTGACTAATGACAGATTCGTATGGAAAGATAAGTGAAAAAGGAAATGTATATTCATTCGTTTTAGATGAACGTCTCCGATGTAGACTTCTCGGGAAACCTGGATTACAAATGTTTTTTTTTAATCTGGTTGTTGAATGAGGAAGTCTCCAACTACCTTTCGCCAGATGTTTGTTAATTGCTGTCGTACATTGTGTGCGAATGATATATCTTTGTGGTTATTATAAGTAAACACGACCAACATGTTTTCTAATTTACGAGTTAGTGTTTCACAATGTTATACACATTTTATATATTTCAAAGTCATCACTTCCAAAGAGGTATATTCGTTAGTTGATCATATAAATTACTTTATTCAAAATGCATTTAACATGTCGACATATGGAAGGAGCAGTGAGACTGAGAAACGACAATTCATTCGGATATTTTTGTGGAACAAGTTATGTATGTAGACTATAAATGTGTGAATTATTATTTGTGTGTAGACAGAAGCACGTTAGGAGTTTTATTATAGGAAGAGGGTGGAGTACCTTGGGAAATCCAATCTGGCGAGACAGGTCACCCAACACCTTGTCACATCCGATAAGAGAAGTTTAGATCCCTCGGAGAAGAGGACCAAATACGTATGTATTTATAGAAAATGATTCACACAGTATTTTCAAGGGGATAAATGAAATTTAGCATATCAATGAAGAAACAAATATTAATCGGACAATATATGATACAAACTAAAATGCAAATATGAAAAAACACTACGACATGCCAATTCAAATATGCCTTACATAAAGCAGACAAGAAATAGTGTCTTTCGATGCCGGTTAATTCGTTCTCCAATAATTGTGTTTATGATTTGTAAATAGATACTAAGTTCAAGCTTAATTATTATATTTGAATTGGCATGCAGTAGTGTTTTTTCATATTTGCATTTTAGTTTGTATCATTACATGGAAATGGTAAGTTCTTCCTTAAAAAGACCGAAACTAATTAAATTAAGATTGAAAGCGGGTTGTGTCGTTGTTTATAGTGATGTTGTTACTGCAAAGCGAAGAGTTAACGTATTAATAGAGAATATGTAATACTATACAAATATTCCACGCCATTTCATGCGATAGTCAAACATATTTGATTCCACGTGACGGCGCACGAGGCCGAATATCCAAATTAAGTACTGGCTGATTGCCTTCCCGATGTGTTTTTACTGTGATATCTGCTTTGTAATGGTATCCATCTTAAAAACATTTCAAATCTTTACAAGTAACATACATTTCCTTGTCGATCTCGCAGCTAACCAGGGGACATGTAAACGATATAGTATTTATAACAGTTGAACGCTTACATCTTTCGGGAATGTTCACGAGACGCCCTTAATGTCGTCACAATTACTGACACATCAAGGTCACATTGCCATGTTTAATATAACATGTTCTCGTGCAAATGACGGAACAAGTAGATTCCAGTATTTATAGAGCGATCACAGCACATTACGTTATCTGTATACAACACTAAATATATAAAGAAATTTGACCGGGTTTTAATGTAGCCTCCCAACATACTTTTCACAACACGTGATCGCCTACATATACGGTTATGCATTTCGAGCAGTTTTTGCAGACATGCAAAATGTCTGCAGCATTTTGATACATGGGATTAATTTCCCTGTATTAAATATGCTCTATCAAAGATACTTGTATCAGACATTTCCTGTGGTCTGAGATACCATCAATTGCTGTCTACACAGATTGCGATTGCTATTTTAACCATCACTCGCTGTAAAACCGTACAATAAAAAAGAAAATTTTCTTTGAAACATCGCCTCAAAGTGGGAGATGAAGATCATCATAAAGCGGTCGGAAACGCACTATTTTAACCCCTGTTAAGACATACGACTCAGTAATTACAAACATTTATTTTGAAACATTCCTGGTTAATAACCGAATGCCTTTTCATACCAATACATACGATTAAAGTAATAAAGCCAGTAAAATTGCGTTCAGAACTTTTAATTGAAATTCCTCCCTAAAGCATTTCACTAGTATGCCACAATTACCCTATTTGCTTTAGCTTAATCTGTATATTGCGAAAGGAGTAAACTGAACACATGGGATATTTTCGAACTTTCTCTTTAGTATTTTTCATCAAGCATGACACAAAAGTTGTTCGGGATTTTTAACGTGTTTAATTGTGAATAGAAATCATTCTAATTGATGAAAGATTAAAGTTTTCATTTTGTCTAATGTGGATGGTCAGCACAAATGCTAAAGGTGTGATGTTTACAGCTGAGATGTAAGGAGAGAAAAATTGTTTTGTCAGTCACCCGTTTTTATTCGTGGAATAGAGACATGGTTGGATAGTTGAACAACCCGATAAGTCGTTTATTGGATGAAGGGCAATCAAATCAGTGATTCTGGGAACGATCGGAATGATGGGATCACATGGTCTTGACCTACACCCATTGGCTTATGTTATAACATATAGTATTCCGTAAAGACTATTTTGCGTATGCTTGGATTTTTTATTTTGAGTTTTGTGTAAGACAAACAAATATCGACAAGTCAAGAACGTAATTCAAATTCATATTCTTTGAAACTTTGGCAAAATATGACAAAAAAACGAAAAGATTTACACGGAGACCCCAGAACAAGGATTAGGAGAATAAACAGAGGTGTTGAGGGAGTGTCGTAACGAAACCCGCCAGGTTAATCTTGTCCTGACGTTTCTCGTTGTTAAAATTATAAATGGTTTGTAAATTGAGGCATTTTTTTTATATCAGTGACACAAGCCTCTCATGCTATACGTAGTAGTGATCATTAGTTCAGTCACATCAATTGTAACAAATTTCTTTACTATGATTCATCACCTACGCATTGACAAAATTAATATTTACCTATGACATGATGTACCTATGACATGACGTGTCTGTGACATGATGATTTTGTCTACATTTAAAGAAGACAAAGTTGTTCAACGATCACAAAGAAAATGCCATTTCGAAAATAGCTACCGATGGCTGTCTTGGCAACCAAAAACATTCTTGGTATTTCAGTTATCAAAATAAACAACAATGCAAATATGAAATGAATAAAATGTAGGTTCTCGGAAAGACATTGTATGTTGGACCCATTTGTCATTTTCGTTATTACACAAGAATTCAAACGGTCGGTCTTCCAAACTTTGGTTTTAAAAAAATCTCGACAGACTTTCACATGACGTCATCGTTATGATTTACTACCACTGAAATTATACAGTACAGTAAGAAGTGGTTAGAGTGTCCTCTGGTGTGCCTCAAAACAGTATTTTAAGTTTTGATGAAGAAATGACGGATCTTTGTAATA